GTTCTGCGTTTAAACAGCCGACGAATTGGTTTCTGGTTTAGTAATTCGAGAATTTGACTAAGTTACATTAGGAACTGGACTAAGTGACCTTCATGAATATTGTAGCTCTGTGTCTTAGCTTCGAAACGGCATAGGCGTTTTAAATCCGATAAGCGTAGCCTCAGATATGTTATTTCCGCATTTGTACGTCAAATCTGTTTTGAACTAAATTGAATTTCTGCACTTGTACTTAATACGATTCTTGTTATTATGATATTGTGAGCCTATGGAACGGCTCTTGACATGAATTGCTGATATGTATAATGTTGGGTTGTGTTTGAGAAAAACAATGAAGCCTAAAAGGCTGGAAAATTAGGTAAACACAAAGGGCATGCTGCCCGAATTTTTACTCGAGGACTAGAAAACTATATTAGCGACTTGAGTGAAGGTTAAGTACTTATTACTTGAACTAGCGAGAACCTTGGCCACTATGTTTCTTGAGTGTTATACGTTAGGACTTGGCGAACTTGTACCCTTGAGAAATGAAATAATGATTGCTCGAAGTATGTTTTCCTTGTACTTTCACTCGCATGACAATTTCAAGTATAAATATTACAAAGTTTTACTGTTTAAAAAGGCGAGCAAGTGTTTCACGACTACTGTCCGAGTGAATTTCAATTTCTTGATTCTTATTGAACGAAACGTCTAAGTTTCGAACTCTAGTCATGTTTCAAAGTTCTCAAATTGAGTTTTATCGCAGATTTGGACTCCGAACTCGGAGTATAACCTGAAAGTGACCAGTAAAGCACTATATCTTTTGGTGAGTGCTTTCAAATACTGAATTGAACTTGATACTTGTACTTGATACGTGCCAATATGATTACATGCCACATGCGTGAATTGTTAGGGCAAGAGTGTACTTTATCGCACTTGCCCTTACATGATATATACTTGTTTATTGTTGCAATTGACTTGACATACTTGTTATGATGCGCGCACTTCCTGGAATTCCAGAAACCCTGTGGCAGTTACTCTAGTCGAGCCGGCAGGGGCTTGGTCGATTGGGTAACGAGCCCTGGGTCTCTTGCTTTGTCGAGTGGAGTGATATCTCCTCGACTAATCGGTATACTCGAGTATTACCACCCGTGTTTATTGAGGATTTTGGGCCCAGTAGGGGGTGTGAATGGTGGACGGAGAGTAGTGTAAGTGGTGTTCTACTGGATTGGTTTTACTTGAAAGTTGACGGAGTGTCAACTACGTGATCAAGCTCCTGATGATGAATGGAAGTTGGCTCCTGAGAGCCATCCGTATCCTTATGCTTTGGATGATTATTGTTTATTGGATTATTGTTTCTTCTGAAAACTTTTACACTCGCTCATTTTGAGATTGCTACTTGAAGTGTTATTGCTCACTTTTATGAACTCTTCATGCTCGTTACTTTGCTATATCGAAAACTAGTACTTATAAATAATGGTCAATTTGCTATTTGGAACCTCACTGGGCTTTTAGCTCACACCACGCTATTTGTTTTCCTTACAGGGGTACGAGTGAGCGTGAGATGTAAAGGCTAGCGTAGTCTAGTTACTTTAGACTTTGTTTTGAATTTTGGTTTTGTACTCGCGCTATTCCTCGAATGGAACATTTGTACTTGGATTGTATATATTTTGAACTAGTTTAAGTATATCGAGACTTTGTACCTTGATTTCTATCAATGTAAATTATAAGCTTGAATTGCGATATTATTAATGGTGCTTGGTGTGTGTGCACGTGATTCGAGTGAGTGAGTCCTGGCGAGAGCTGGGCAGGCGGTCCGCCAAACCTCTGGTACGCCTTAGGGGGAGATGGGGTCGTCACAGAGTGTGTAGTGCATTGAAGTGGGTCTAATGCAAGCACCGTATCCTTTTAAAAGTGATGGTTTAGTGAAGTGTTTCCTCAATTGCTTAATGAAAGTGATTATACAGTGAAATGTGCACTACTTGCTTAATTGTACTGATTTAAGTGTTTAATTGAATGTTACTTGCTCAGCAAACCTCACTGAGCATCAACTCAGCCCTTTTAGCTTTGTTTTCCTTATAAGAGTTGGAGATTGAAGAGTGATTGAGTTGAATTAGAAAGTTATTTTACGAAGATCCATCACTGTGTTATAATGGTAGTTATGGTTTCCTTTGTACCTTGAAATGGTTGACCCTTTTATCATAAGATGCATGAGATGCAATAAATGTCACACCAAAACATAAATCTAGTACGTCGATGGTCTAAAGGGTCAAACATTAGACTAACTCATTTCTACAAGTCCTCACTAGCGTTGGACTAGTGAGAAATCGGGAGAGAAAAGCCACAACTAGTGTTGAACTCGTGTGATAACGTCATACACTCATCAAAAATAAATAAAGCATATAGAGCATAATTAAAGAAAATCAACACATAGAATACATAGATCACCTAGCAAATAAGCATAATATTTAGATGCAAAATTTTAGAAAAAGCAAGTAAACATGTAAGCACATAAACACACAAACACGCAAGCAATAAAACCTAACTATTACATTTGGAGTCCTAATTATAACCTATCAATTACATTGGCGATCTAATTACATTTCTTACACAGAGAATATTACCTATCTATTACAATTTGGCATTCAAATACTCTCCAAATAATCACAAGACTTAAATTAAACATGTATAAAATAAATAAATGCAGAAACATATAAACACATAAGAGCACATAGGAGCACATAAAAGAATTTAAAGGGTAATAGGTATACCTCCCTTTGAAATAGCGGCTAAATGAGGGGAAGGGAAAGTTGCCTACTTTTTCAAAATCAACAAATGGGTCATTGCACCAATTTAATTGACATTTTAAAAGAGAATGTAAATATACACTAAACTCTTATTATTGTGAAAAATGTATATAAACATAAAACATCCAAAATTTACAAATTAAATGCATTTAAATGAAGCACAATTAATAATTAAAGAAGAGAAACAATTGTAATTGAACAATCAAATAACTAATAGGGATTAAATTGCAAAAATTAGAAAGGTTTAGGGGTCAAATTATAATTCTTAAAAGATTAGAGATCAAAATTGAATAAAATAAAGTTTAAGAGACCAAAATGAAATTAAATTAAGGGCCTAAATGAAAGAAATTTCAAATTTTAGGCCACAATAAAATTACTCAAAAGATTAGGGACTGAATTGCAAAATTTAGTTTCTATTTTGCGCAAAATATAAGAAACAAAATGGTCATTTGATATTTGGACCATACAATTTCGGCCCAAGAGAAAATTGAAGATCATCTTTTTTAGCCCAACTAAAAGCCCGAATAACCAACTAACAAATCCATTATTCCAAACCCAGGCAAAATCCCGATAAAAAAAGACAAGCCCAACCAAAGATAATGAAACAAACCAAACATTTTTTTTCCATTTTTGCCCTCCTTTTTCTTTCTTTTCTTTCTTTCTTTTTTTTTTTCCCTTCTTCTTCCCTCTTCTTCTTCTATCTCTCCAGCAGGCTAAAGCTTTCACTAGTACAGTGCCGCCACCGGACCATTGCCAGCTATCGGTCACTTTCAGTCGCAAAAATTCACCAAAACACATCTCCCTACTCAATTTTTGGCATAGAATCCATTTTCGACCTTAATTTTTTACAAAAAAACGAACAAAAAGTGCTCAAAAGAGCAATTTACAACTAGGTTTTATTTTTTAAATCACTCAAATCTCTACAAAATCATAAAAATTTATACAAAACACTTCTTGTGATTTCTACAATACACTATGACATTAAATCAATAAAAAAACAACAACAATATTATAAATTAAGCAAAACAACCCTAAATAAAAAAATTTCGTTGCCTTCAAGGCTCAAAAAAATCAAAAATTGAAAAAAAAAAATTGTTTCCAAACCATGAACTAATTATAACCATCTATTTTAACGACAATATATATACAAAATTTAGCACTTTAATTCGACTTTTTTCATTTAGGCATTTTATCAAACATGCAACATGCATACAAAACCCATTATTCTTTTCCTCATTTGTTCATGACCTGCCCCAAAAATTCTGCAACCCAACAACAACCATTTGAGCAACAAGAAAAAAAATGAAGTAAGAAAAATGAATGAAAAAAATAAGAAAAACGAAGGAAAAGAATAAGAACCAAGATAACAGAAAAAGAAAACAAATAAAATGAAGGAAAAGAAAAACAGAAGAACTAAACGTTACAGAAGCAGAAACTAGGAGTAGAAAGATAAAGGAAGCTCATGTACTTTTCCCGATGAAGCTTTGATGTTGATAATGATGAGCCAGCATCTTCTTTGATTTTTTTTTCTTTTCTCTTCTAAGACACTTTCTTGTTTCTTCCCTCTCCACTGATTTCTACCTTCCTTTTTCTTTTTTTTTTTCTTTTTGTGTGTTTCATGTGTAAGCCTAGAGAGAAAAAGAGAATGGAGTGATGTGGGGTTTGCCTGTCTTAAAAAAGAAAGGGACCGAGAGGGTGTTTTTGTGTGAGTGTGTGATGGTGGAAGAAAATTGAGAGGGGGAGGGAGAGAGCGAGAGCCAAGAGAGGAGAGTTGCTTTTTAGGAGTTGTTTTGTGGTTGTGGTGAAAGGAAATGAGACGGAGAAGAGTTTTTTTTTCTTAAACGATAGGAATATATTGATAAAAAAATAGCTATAACTTGTAGAGCAACGGCTCTAAAAAACTTTACAAAGGTGTTAGACACCTTGAGGATTGTTCCATTCCTTATCAACACAAATGCCTACATTATAAGTACTCACAGATTTACTTATATTGTCATTTGCTATATCTAAACAAAATGAGCATTTTTGAAACAAAGAGCCTAAGTTGGCGATGTCATCAATCATAGTTGCCAATCTAATGTCTTAGTTTTCCGTGACATCAACAATGACAGAAGCTGCTTGTGGGGGATATGAACCTTGAGTTCTGACCAATTCTTTCCTCTAGCCTTAATTAAAGCATACCTTACTGTCTAGCTAAGTCCAATATTGAAATGTTTTAACTTGTCCCTCATGGCCCAAGCTGTCTTCACTTGTCCCCTGTGATTCTTTGCCACACTCCCCTTCCAGCCATCTGGTGTCGATATCCTCATAGACAGCTATCTGCAGATTGGCTTCATTTGCTTCATCTCATGCTTGAACATCTTGCATAGGTCCTTTGGATGTTTCAAAATTGGTCATTGGTTCTTGTTTTTCCTTTGCTAACACCTGCTCCTGCCAATCTTTTTGAGCTTTGTGAGCAATCTTCAAAGGATGTTTCTGCTTTGAGTTGTATTTGCCAGTCATTCCTTGCCTTCCAAATTTGCCAAAGTATGTTGTTGTTAGCTCAATGTGGCTCTGACCTTGTTTCCTTTTTGCTGCTTCCATTACTGCATTCCACCAATAGGAAAAGTTACCTGACTGTGCCAATATCCCATCCCACCGAATTGGTGCCATCTTCCACTCCTCCCTAGCTCTCCTGTAGCTAAACAGCATATGCTCTATGGTTTCCACTTGTTTGCCACATCCTTTGTAGATTGGATCACCATGTCCTGTCCTTTTGTAGACTTGGTTGTTCACTAGTAGAATTCCTTTAATGCATTTCCACAAAAAATGTTTCAATTTTCCTTTTACGTTTAGCTTCCATAACTTCTTCCATATGTTGCTGAAATTGCTTGCCACACTTGTTTCCCCTAAAGCTTCTTCTTTGTTTTTCCTTTAGAGATGGGAGAAGAGTCAAGAGGTGAGATTTTTGGGGTTGGTGAGCTATCCCTTGTATCATAGTTATTAAATCTAGCCCGGTTTGGTGGTTCAACTGGTCAACCCGATGAATCGGTCATTGAACCGAACTAATTTGCTGATTAGACCGTTTCTGCAAGTGAATCGTTAACGTTTCAATGGTCGGTGGTTCAACCAGATTAAACTGGAAATCTGGCCGATTTTGTGGACAAACCAGTTTTGAGAAAAAAATCTTTCCAAACCTTTACTTGGATTCGAACCCAAGACCTTTGTATAGGTTTATGACATAGTCACTTTGCCACATGTTAATTAATTACCATTCTTACACTATATGAACGTTTTGTCAATTTTATCTTTATTTTTTTTAATTCTCCAAAACAAATTTATTTGGAATTTTTTTAATAAAAACTTATGACCCCTAAATTCTATAAATTATAAAATAGATTTCAAAAATAACATATTACATAATTTATTTTAAAGACAATGATTGTTTTTAATAATTTTTTGCACTTAAAATTCGTAAGTAACCTAGATAATTACACTAAACATATAAATTTTACACTTGAAATTTGGTGGATTCTTAATTAAATTTATGTTTAGCTGATTCTTATATGAATTAAATATTCTATAGCAAATTAAAGCAAATGAACATTTGTTATGACATTGTTTATTACAATTTATATCATATATCCTATATCAAAAATTATAAAACATAATACTTAAATATATTTGTGACCCACTGGTTGAACCAGTGACTCGTTGACCCACCTCCTTCGCCGATCTCCTTTCCGGACTGAGTTTAATAATTATGCATTGTACTATGCCAGCCTTAGGCAGAAAGAAAGAAAAAAAAATCTAGCCAAGAAGAAAAATTCCTCACGATTTTGTCTGTTGTATTGGTTCCTTCGTCTGTAACGAGAGGAGAGCGTGAAGGGCCTTTTTGTTAATGGGCCGATGGCCTCTTTTCCTTCAGGCTTATTTCCAAGCTTTTGCTTCTTTTGCATGGGCTTTCGTTTGGGTTTTATTTGGATTTTTGGTAGGATTTTGGGTAGATTTAAGATTGGGTTTTTTGGTTGGAATTTTTGTTGGGTTAGAAACAAAGAAAACCTCTACTATTTTTTCCAATTTTAAAATCCCATTTTTCTTTTCCCCTTTGCACCTTTTTGCACAAAACTACAAAAATAAAAATGAAATTAACTACTTAGGCTTTTTTTTAAGTGAAGAATAAAATAAAAATAATTGTGTTGAAATTAAAAAAAAATTGGTGTCTACAATGATGATAGGTTTTTGTTAAAAATGGTAAGTTTTACAAATGAAATGATAAATTTGATGAATGATTAAAGTTACTCCTTTAATAAACAAACTTGGTATTTTAGTTTAAAAAATTTAAACAGAATTTATAATCATTATTTTAATGAAATTAGAAAAGACGCTAAAGGACCAATTGTCACTAAATGTGGGTAAGTTAGACAATTAACGGCAACTAGCATTATTTTAACTAGTGTTAAGAGCAAACCCAATGTGTATGCAATTAGAGAATAATTAAAATGAATCAATTTTTAATAAAGTTTGTTTTTTACTCACAAAACACTTATATAAAATTTTCATGAAAAGCTTTGGTTTATTTGATTATAGCAATTTGATAGTTGCAATATTTAGAGTGGTTATTTGTAGTTATATTGACAAAATGTAATTGGGTAATTAACGTACAGGCATTATATATTGTGTAGATATTTCGTGCAGTGACTAGAGATAGTCAAAGTATGAAAGACTTGGTTGAAGAAACCTCTTTCATAGTTTGAGAAAATAGGAGTAAAATACCTCAATTTTCATATACAATTTGAAAAGGTCTAAATTCATTATCTAATGGTGAAAACCGCTAAATTAGTCCACAAAACCAACCGGAATATAGGTTACACAATTATTGATATAAATCACATTTTAAGGGCAAGTTACACGTTGAATGGTTGAATTATAGTTGAAAATTCGTGAAAGAATTTGTAACTTATAATATTTGAATTAAAAAAAAAACATGTGACATCTTTATTAAAATACTCCAACAAGAGATCTGCGATCTTCGTCCTATGAAATTCAAATGACTATGAAATTCAAATGACTAGATGGAAGAGAGAATTGAAGTGTCAAGTTTCACGTGGCTGAAATCCCTTCCTAATTACTTTGAATCTGAAATTCCTTCCATCAAAACAGGTTTAATTCCATTTTATCCCCTCAAACTATGCACAAAATCTCACTTCAGTCCTTGAACTTCAAAATGGGACACTTAAATCCCTAAACTACAATTTATGTTCCAGTTAAGTAAAATCGGTGACAGAATAAAAAATTTAACGGTGTATTAGGAATGCGGAGAACACACTCCTATAGCATGATTGTATAACTGTTACAAACTGGAAAAAAAAGGGACATAAAAGTGATTTCATCTTTTGTAAGTGTTATAAACCAATAAAAGGACATAAAAGAAATTTCATCTTTTTTCTTTTTTTTTTCTGTCTTTTCCTTCTTCATCATTCCTTTTTTTTTTTCTTTCATCATGCCCTTTTCTCAACTTTTCCGACCAATATCAAGAAAAGAAGGATGGAGTTCACTGAAAAGAATCCAACCAATTGACGCAGTAGACAACCTCTTTTCCCTTCCCCTTATAGTTGTCATTCACTCTCCAGTTTTTTCTTCCCTAAGTAGCATTATCACCAATAGCAGTAGGTTCTTCGTCGGATCTGAACTACTGCCGAAGTTTGACACAACCCAAGTGGTAGAAGGGAGATGGCTGGCTGGGGTAACAACCACTGCTTACAAGGGCGTAAAGGGTTACTGGATGAGGAGAGGATACGAGAAACTAGATGGGAACGGTAGTCGATGGAGGAAGAGAAGGGTGGTGGAGTTGGCGGCGGAAAACGGGTCAAGCGGGAGGAGGCTGTTCTGGAGGATAAGGTTGACTCCCAGGCTGAAGCTGAAACTGAGATTAAGATTCTCGCCCAAGAAATTTATCCTGGGACTTCAGGATGCCTACATTAATTTGATGACCAAGCTGGCCAGCAGCCGGTTCGTTAACAGCAGGGTGGGGGGATATCCTGGGGAGGGCATCAGCGGGTTTGGGTTGCGCCCGCTCAAAGAGTACGACGAGAAGATGATCGTCGAGATCTACAAGTCCTTGGTAATGGCTCAGGGCCACCAATTGGTGAATCCTGGCGTCGTTGTCGCAGTCGCACCCCACAAAATTCCCACTCTTCCGACGGTAACTGAATGCTGACAGACTACCAAATTCATCTCATCTCATCGCATCGCATACTTCTGCTGTGCCTATGCCTATCAATGATCAATCAATAAATTCCATCCCTTTAAGAAAACCACCTGCTCGCAAACCCTCCACACACTCCACCCATTAGTAGAAATTTTTGTTTGCCAATCAAATCAATTTTACCTCTTGAAGCTGTAGTAATTGTTACAGTCAAATGCCGTCGTAATAAATTTAAGTCTGCTTTGTAGTTTGTAGTTTTCGTGTGAAAATCAAGTACAAAAGATGAAATCACTTTTATGTCCTTTTTTTTTTTTTTGGTTTGTAACACTTACACAATCATGCTATAGGAGCGTGTTCTCCACATTCCTAATACGCCGTTAAGTTTTTTATTCTGTCACCGGTTTTACTTAACTGAAACATAATTTGTAGTTTAGGAACTTAAATGTTCTATTTTGAAGTTCAGGGACTGAAGTGAATTTTATGCATAATTGAGGGGACAAAATGAAATTAACCCATCAAATGTTATCTAAACAGTGGAGTGGAATTGGATTGTGAATTTGAAATCAAATACATCCAAATCTACCCATCCAAACTCAGACTTGTAGAGTTTAAATGCAAAACCCCATATTATAGTCTCACTGATTTAAAACTCTATTTCTAAACGAAATTAGCAAAAAAAAAAAAAGGTTCACAGTTAATTATCTTTTACAAGTGAGATATTTTGTGAAAAGGAAAAAAGTGAGATGTGTTGCTCAGAGTAAAATACATCATTATTTCCATTATTTAAAATTTGTGACTTGTAATAATTTTATTTTCTGTCCAATAAAAAGTGATAACGTGTAAAATGCATGGGTAGAACTAGTTGCTAACATATCTGCGAACCAGAATAAATGATTTGTTACTAAAATAGAAATATGAATTTTCTGATCAAATCATCGGACCAAATTAATTTGTTAACTAGGTTAGTGAACTTAACGAAACTTTTACATAATTTGATGACTAAATATTTCACAACGATCTAGGAACCTTCACATGTTGTTTATCTTTTTATTATTTGAATTATCTAGGAGCCTTCAAGAGGTAGTCCATCTGTAAAATCGATAAATATTCACAATAAGACGGATTTCATAGACATCTACAAAGCTTGGTGGTTTTCTACTAGATGAACATTAGTCTGTAAGATTAATATCTGAAATTACTTTTAATTTTTCGAGTAATTCTTAACCTATTAAACACTAACTACTCCAAAGAACATATCCTAGGAATCATTGCCTCCTAACCCAAAAAGACACTTTAAGTTCTACCAGCACAGTCCCGATCAAATTTCAGGTTTGGTTCTTCGAGTTTTTGGTTAGTATCTTTTAAATATGCTTTACCTTGATACCACTTTTTTTTTTTTTTTTACTAGATGTTGAATGACTCATCTTTGTTTCATCGTTTCATTGTTCACATTTAGAATTTAAAC